GTCTTGTTCAGACCAACCCAGTAGAAATGCAGATGGGCCCTTCAAGGCCTTTTTCAAATGTAAAGATCACTCACTCCACCTAGCTAAGCTGTGGAAGACCTTCCAGCCAACTCCTTTGTCCCTGAGCAGTGGGGAGAATGGAATGTGGAGATGAACCCCAGTGGGAGTTATAAGGTCCTTGCTTAGCATCTGGACAGCCATCTTGAGTGACAGCAGCCATGTTAAGGAAAAAGTTTTGCTTTCCTCCCAAGGGCCTTTCTGAGAAAGACTCACCACTCCCTCATACCAACCCAACCCCTAACCACCATTAGGACCTTCCCAGCTCTGATTCCTGAGCCTCCCCCCTAAGAGTCCCGGAACCCCAGCCTGTTTTACCTCTCTCTCCTATACAGAGATGGCCTTTATTTGTCAGCTCTGGCCAATAAACTCTTGAGTATCTCTGCCTGGTCTCTGGCATTCATTTCTCGCTTACCTGTCTTTCATTCCTTGATTTCCCTTTGGAGTTACAGGAAGGAAGAGAGGGTTAAAACTCAAAAGGCAAAAACTCAAAGCATTGATACTTTTTCAATATCTTTTTAACATAGATTTTGATCAATGCCCCTACCAGAAGCTATCTAGGTCCCTAGACTGGTACATTTAAGAGGAAAAACTTGCTAACAGTTCCCCTCACTTTCTCTTTCCACTTATATAAATTCTGCTCCATTTACTCTTCCCTTCTGGCATTGTCCATGGATTTTATTCTTCAATTTGTTACCAAAAGCTCAGTCCTTGTCCCAAATGCCAATACAATAACTAGGACACGGTTTTGAGAAAAAGGAAAAAGAAGGTTTATTGCTTTGTTAGCAAAGGAGAAACACAGGGGATTCCTATCCCAGAGGCTGTGATTTTGTTCACCCACAGGAACAGGGAGGTTAAAGAGGTGATACAAATACCATATTCCCCCGCCCCCCTTTCTTGGAGTTGTAATTCACTTGTTAATTTAGGAGGTAGTCATTCCTGAGGTCTCTGGATGCTCATCAGCAATTACTTGGTTCCCTTGCTGGGTGTGTACTCAAGGATAGATAACTTGGTTTGGGATGCTGAAAAAAGAACCTGTTTCCCTTGAGATTAGGGAGTGGGAGAGATAAGGGAGGAAGGAGCCTGAGAGGAAGAGAAAGAAACATGTTCTTTTAAAACTAAGTCACTGTGGCAGAGCTGGAAAGGCTACATTCAAAGCATAAAGTGGACAGCTGGTACAAAATTTGTGAGACAAAAATCCAGTTTCCACAGAAGTAGAGAATCTACTTTTATCTCAAAACTTCAGTTTCAATATTGTCTAAGTTATGGCCAGCTTGAACAGACAAGAATCCATCATTTACAAAAGCATTAGCCTCAAATTGAATAAATGTTTTTAAGTTTATGTGAATCCTTTCCTTTTTGTTTTGTACTGGGATTGAATCCAGGGGTACTTTACCACCTTTCTATGTTTAATTTAGAAACAGGGTCCCACTATGTTGATCAGGGCCTCACTAAGTTGCTGAAGCTGGCTTTGAACTTGCAATCCTCCTGTCCTCAGCCCCCCAAATTGTTGGGATTATAGGCATGTTGGGAATACCACTGCTGCTGGTTGTGAATGTCTTTCTTAATACAAAGCTTCAGTATTTCTCCTCTTCCTTCCAGAAAACAATTAATTTACTACTTGAATGATAAAACCCAAGAGCAAAATAAGAGAAACGAAAGGGCTGGGGCTGTAGTTCAGTGGTAGAGTGCTTGCCTAATGTGTACAATGGCCCTGAGTTCAGTTCTCAGTATGGAAATCTCGATCAGGATATTGGAAGGACAAATGAAGTGATGTGGTAGGAAAAAAAGCTAGACTAGATGAATTGGAAAGTTGGGCCCCACCAAGGTCAGATTCCTGTGGTCCAAAAGAGACCACAGATACAAGCAAGAGCTTAAAAATCCAACTGATAGAAACATCTGTGACTCAGTGTCTAGACCCTCTCCAAAAAAGGACAAACTGCAGCTTGGTAACCTGATTGGGCTTGGGCAGGGTGGGGTGGGGGTGGGGGTGGGGACCTGAACACCACTTGCCCAGTTGAGAACAAACTGTTTTCAAAAACTCCAGCTTTAGGTCTTCTAGGCCACTGCCACTGCCCTCTGACTTTATCATGTAAACCTCTAGGCAACAGAAGTCCATTGGCAACTCTTCCTGGGGACCTGGGGTAGCTCACTCTCTCTTCCTCCCTCCCCCTTTCCCTCCCCCCTTCCTTCCCCTTCTCTGTTTCCTTCCATTACTTTAATAAATCCTGTTACCTTGCTCTCACCCTTCTTATCTGTGGAGTTCCTTCTTTGAATTCACAAGACAAAGATTCTATGTCAGAGTTGGGCAAGGAATTCATTCATTAAAAAGGCAGTAGTACTGGGGAGACAGATCAGTGGGAAAGCACTTGCTTAGCATGCGTGTGGCCCTGGGTTCAACCCCATCATCACATTAAAAAAAAAAAAAAGATTTAAGGTAGTGAGCTCGCCTGGCATGCATGCGTGCGGCCCGGGTTGGATCCTCAGCACCACATACAAACAAAGATGTTGTGTCCGCCAATAACTAAAAAACAAATATTAAAAAAAAAAGGTAGTAGTTATTCGAAAGTAGAGAACTAGTCATTTTGCTGCTCTGGTGTGGCCTTGGGAGAGACACTGTTTTCCATTGGCTTTGCCACTGTTCTTGTAAGGTACATCATGGTCCCATTGTCAACAGGCTGATTTTTCTTTTTTCAAAGTATACAGACTGTAAAAAAGTACACTTTAAGCTTTTATGAAGAAATGTGTGGGTAAGCTCAGGATTACTATGCTGCATCTGAATGGATAGGGGGCATTAATGGGGACACAGCTTTAAATACAGTTTTGGCCTGGGTTTAACCTAGCACTGGAAAAAAAAAGTGGGGGACAGGTACAAACTGGTGGTATAGCTCAGGGCTAGAGGCCTGCTTAGCATGGGATAGGCCCAGCAAGAAAGAAGGAAAGAAGGAAGGAAGCTGGAATACCCTGACACCTTTAGCTTTTCATTATCTATTAAGTATTAACAGTAGGGTGGAACACTATGTTCAGTTTGTTTGTTTGTTTGTTTGTTGTTGTTATTTACATGAATTCTCATTAATTTTCACAACCACCTCTGGGTAGGCCCTCTTTCTTCTTTTTCTACTCCTTTTCCAGAAGGAGATAGAAGAAGGATCAAGAGATCAGATAATTTGCCAAAGACAGAGCTAGGAAGGGGAGAAACCTAGAGATGATGGAGATAAGCTAACTGCAGAGGCTTTGTTTAGCCATTACAATACTCTCTCCGGTCCAAAGAGGTTGAAATAATGACCAGTTGTAAGGGTCCAGCAAAGCGTTGGAGAAAGAGACCACCAAGTGACCACTCATGCAATTGGCAGAAGGGGATTTATTGAACCAGCATGCTGGGGCTCCGTGCCCACTCAAGAAGGGAAAGCAGCCCAGAGCCCCGAGCAGGGGCTGAGCACTGCTTAAGTACACTTTTTTTGGGGAGGGCGGGACTTTACATACATCACAGTCTCCTTTAACAAATCATCATACACCGCGGGAAAATCAAACTACAATTCCTAAACATGATTAGTTCATTCATTGGCGGGAACAGGTCAGGCTGGAGTGATAGGTCATTCCTAAGGAGGGTACACATTCAAACTGATTGGTTTTAGGGCCTAAATGACTACGTGACCAGTAACACAGAGTCCCAAGTTATTGGACAATCAGGGAGTCAGTGGGAATATTTACTGGGCAGTTCCAGTATTGTCCTAACAGCTACAGGGATTTCAGGTTTTGCAGGTAGCGTAGAAACCTAACAATACCTAATCCTTTACATTTTAACTCAGACCTTGCAGCTTAGAAACTTTACAACACCCGGTCTTTTACCCTTTAACTTTTACGCTTTAACTTCAATTTCTTTTACCCTTACACAGTGAAACTGCATATCATGTACAACCTCAAGAACGGGACTTTATAATGTGTCTACTGTCATGTCTAAAAAGAACACCAAAAAATGATTACTTGAAAGTATAATATTATAAAAACCTTTATAAATAATAACCATAAAAAAAAAAGAGGGTGAAATACTTGGCCAAGAAATTAGCTGCCTTCCCAGTTCTGGTCACACTGTGATTCAATTAATTTTCCTTTAAAGGACAAGGTGGGGGAAACCTGGCTAAAGTTACACTGCTGACAGGAGAAACAGGAGATAGCATTTGTGTTTACTGCGAACTAAGCAATAACACAGTGTAATCTATCAACCTAAATAACAGACTCTCCAAAGATTAGCATGTTTTTTCTGGAATAGACATTACAATGGGAATGCATGTACCACTGTAAACTATTTGTGTATTCAAGGAGGTTAATTCGAGCAGAAAACTTTGACAAAATAAGGATCACACAACTTTCTTGCAATAATCTTTGGTTACACGTTCAATAATAAGGCAGGCAAGAGTCCAAGGCTGAACCAATTAGTTGTTGGACAGACATCCTCGCAGAAATACCTTTTTCAGGTGCAAGGTTGTGGTTCCGGCAGTGCTTAGTGACAGTTCTTGTTATCAGGCATCTATGCCTGTCAGCCTCCTTCTTCATGCCCTCCTAGCTTTATTTGATAGGGCTCGACATCTCTATTTTGATTCTGACAACTCTCACAAATCCCAGTGAAGTAGGGTCTGCTGTTATCCTCATCTGAGAGAAGTGGGAAGATATAAGCAATATCAAGTCCCCAAACTCACACTTGGGACATGGGAAAGCGCGGATTTAAACCCAGGTCTTCCCTCCCCAGACTCCCCATTTCCTCTCCCTCGGCTACGAAGAAAGGCTTTGCTAGTGAACCTCGGTCGCCCGGATTTTGAGCACCCAGCACACCTGGATGGAGCCGGCGGAGCCCCGCCCTTTCTCTGCGGAGACGTCAGCTCCACCAATCAGCGACGCCGGGGGCGGGCCGCGGGTGCACACGCCCGGGGACCGCGGTCCTAGTGGCCAGAGCTCACCGAGACGCGTCGCGGGGCTCGCGCCGAGCCAGCGGACGCCCGGGCCTCGTTCCCCTCCCATCGCTGCCTTCTCCCCTCAGCGGGACCGGAACTATGTGATCCCGGAAGTTCCGGGGCCATTGCTGTGTGGGATAAACAGTAATGGCGGAGGCTGCGGCTCCCGGAACAACAGCCACAACATCAGGAGCAGGAGCGGCAGCGGCGGCGGTGGCAGCGGCCTCCCCCACCCCTATCCCCACAGTCGCTGCCCCGTCCCCGGGGGCGGGAGGAGGGGGCGGTGGCTGGACCAAACAGGTCACCTGCAGGTAGGACGTTGCGTGGCGGAGCGCCGGGCGAGGGGCGGGGGCCGGGGGCGGGGGCGGGGGCGGGCGGGAGGGAGGGGCCGACGTTTCCGCGACCCCCGCTGACTGCTCCGGGACCGTCGCTGCGTCTGTCCCCGCCGGCGTCCGAGGCCTCAGCGTGGTCCGCAAAGGCTGGTAGCGCGCGATCTCTGCGGGGCCGCGGGCTTGGCCACCCCTTCTCCGGCGCCCTCGCACTCGGGGAGAGGTAGGCCGACCCCTCTGGCTGGCTTCGGCGTGTCGGGGGTGTGTGGGAGGACGCCCCCGCCCCACCTCGGGCTCCGGAGGTTCGGGAAGCGGGCGTGAGGTGGTCGCTCCCAGCCGGGCTCCAACGGCCTCTCCCGGCCCGGGAGACCCCGCCGAGGGCCGCCTGTCCCCGGGGGTCTTTGCTCCGTGTCATCCGTTTGTAACGTCTTTTCTCCTCTCTCCGCCCCGCTCACCCCCCCGCCCGAGAGAAGAAGCTTTTGTATTTCTTTGTATGTTTGTCGGGGTTGGCGGTTCCGAGCTTTGTCTTGGAACCCAGCGGTCGGGGCTCGGGGTCCTCTCCACCCTTGCTTTGAGGAACTGCATTATTACTCTGGCCCAGAGCAGTATTGCTTTTTCCAAATCCACGCATCCTGCTCGTGAAGGGAGAACCCAAGGAGAGAGGTTTGGTCGTGGTTGGGTAAGCCAGAGGGTCTGCGAAAAATGAGTGGATGGCCGAATGCAGACGCGGACGCAAGAGTATTTTAGGTGTTATATTTCGGCTTCAAAGCGCTGATCGGCAGAGACTGTAAGCTTTCTTTTATACAACTCAGGCTCGGGTTTTCATCTGGCCAAGATATAATATAGAAGTCACGGTTGTAGCATTAAAGACGAGATTTAAGTATTCCTAGTCTTTTTTGTGACACATTAATTGCCACATTGAAGCTTTCTCGATCTTTTTTTTTTCTTAAATACAGTATCTATTTCATTTTTATGAGGTGCTGAAGATCGAAGCCAGTGCCTCACTTATGCTAGGCGAGCGCTCTATCACTGAGCCACAACCCTCAGCCCAGCTTTCTCGATCTTTATATGATATATGTAAGGTATGAATGATAATCTGATTTTCAATCACTGGATGCAGAAAAAAATTTCAAGTAACTCTCTTAATCTGTAGATCCTATTCAAATGCGATATCTGAAGGAATGAAAAAAAAATTTTTAAAGTTCCTATTCATGGAACCGATTATTCGAATCTTTTCTCTTTACTAGGATATAGTTGATTTTATTTTTCTTTTTAAATCTTGTATACGTATTTATTTTGTACCTGAGATTGAACTTAGGGGCGCAAGACACGGTCTCCCTGAGTTGCAAAGTGCCTGCTAAATTGCTGAGACTGTTTTTGAACTCTAAATCCTCCTGCCCCCGCCCTCCGAGTCCCTGAGATTACAGGCATGGGCGGGTTCTCCAGCCCGTTTTTAATTTTTATTTTGAGGCAGGGTCTTGCTAAACTGGAGTCTTTGCTTTGAACTTGTGATCCTCATGCCTCAGCCTCCTCAGCCGTGTGCCACGGCGCCTGGCTCCCAAGTCTTTTTAATTTTTTTTTTAAACATTTATTTTTTTAGTTGTAGGTGGACACAATACCTTTATTTTATTTTATGTGGTGCTGAGGATCGAACCCCAGGGCTCATGCTTGCTAGGCGAGCTCTTCCTCTGAACTCCAACCCCAGCCCTCTTTATTTGTGTGTGGTGCTGAGGATGGAATCCAGGGCTTCACACTTGCTAGGCAAGTGCTCTACCACTGAGCCACAACCCTAGGCCCCCCCCCCTCCCCCGCATTAGCACAAAAGGACTGGACCAGAACTTCATTTAAAGGTTTTATTCAGGAAAGGAGTGACACCTTTGATGGACCCACCTTCCTGGTGGAAAATGAGCCACTGACAACGTCTGGGTTTATAAGTTATACCAAGAGGTGACTTAGTTAATGAGCATATCAGTTTGGGCACTAAGGAATTTGGTTTTTTTTTTTTTTTTTAAGCTGGACAATAGAGGGTCTGGGGTCATATTTTATTTTGACACAGGCTGTCACTGAGTTGCGTTGGGCTTGGCTAAGTTGCTGAGGCTGGTTTTAAACTCTGAATCTTCCTGCCTCAGCCTGGTGAGCTGTTGGGATTACAGGTGTTTGCCATACTACAGTTGCTTTTTATGTGCTAATGAGTCTTTTTTTTTTTTTTTTAAAGAGAGAGGGAGAGAGAGAGAATTTTAATATTTATTTTTTAGTTATCGGCGGACACAACATCTTTGTTTGTATGTGGTGCTGAGGATCGAACCCAGGCCGCACGCATGCCAGGCGAGCGCGCTACCGCTTGAGCCACATCCCCAGCCCCGTGCTAATGAGTCTTTAAAAATATAAAACGAGTGTAACTTTTGAATTCCTGGACCTTCCCGCAATTCATTTTGCAGAGCCAATCCGCCTCTATATCATGAACATGATGCAGCTTGAATAGAAATTTTTACAGCTCCATAAGATACCTTGACTTTATCCATCATCTCCAGCCTAAATATAGTCTGGCCACGGAGGAATACCCATCACCAACCTGGCATTTCTATTCTTCTCTATTTTGTATCTTGACCCCAACTTTGCATCTCTGAACAGAATTCATTGTTACTGTCAAAACTTTGTTTTTGTTTTTTCCCTCTGTTAGTTTTCCCTGTTTCTCCTTTCCTAGTTCCTCATAGGGATTCTAAATAACAGTGTTCTAGACTCATCATTCCCCTGTGCCTTCCTTTACAATATTATTGTGTGCTGTACTAGGGACTGGACCCAGGTGTATCTACATCCCCAGCCCCTCCTAGTTTTTTTTTTTTTTTTGGTGCTGGGGATTGAATTTTTCATTTTGAGATAGGTTTTCCTCAGGTTGCTGACCTTGAACTGGTGATCCTCCTGCCTCAGCAGTTGCTAGGATTACAAGTTTGTGCCCTGTCTTTTTTTTTTTAAAGAGAGAGAATTTTTTAATATATATTTTTTAGTTTTCGGCAGACACAACATCTTTATTTGTATGTGGTGCTGAGGATCCAATCCAGCCTGCGCGCATGCCAGGCGAAGGCGCTACCGCTTGAGCCATATCCCCAGCCCCTGTGCCCTGTCTTTAGGATCTTTGAGTTAATGAAATTGCCTTGCCTTTCCTCCTGGGTGAGTGAGAATTTGTTGCCCCGGAACCAGTAAATTTCTAGCTGAAAGCTCAGCCAATCCAAAAAGGAAGACAAGAGGGGACTCCTGACCCAGAGCCTGTGATTTTGCTTATCATTTTTTTTTTTTTTAAAGAGGTGATTCAGAGAAAATGACAATAGGAAGGAGAGATCAGGGAGGAGAAGGTTGGGAAAAAGAAAAAAACATGTAAGTTTTAATGTGACAAGGGATGTAGTCAAAGCATCAAGTGAACCCTTGTTACAGAATTATGTATTTAACAAATTTACATGCTGAGCAAACAATGTGAGAAAATAATGAAAAGAGATACAGTGTTAATGTAGCAGTTTTTCTTTTTCTTTTTCCTTTTTTTGGGGAGGGTATAACTTTGACTATAACTTTAGCTTGGGACGGCTGTTTTTAAAAAACAAACAAAAAACAACAAAAACACAAAGAAACTAAAGCCTGGCATGGTGGCAAACACCTGTAGTTCTAGCCACTTCAGACTCTTGAGACAAGATCCCCCTTCTGGCTGGGGATGTGGCTCAAGCGTAGCCTGGCATGCATGTGGCCTGGGTTGGATCCTCAGCACCACATACAAGCGTGTCCACTGAAAACTAAAACAAAATAAATATTTAATTAAAAAAAAAAAGATCCCTTGAACCTGGGGAGTTAGTTCCAAGACAGCCTTGGCAACATAGGACCCTGTTTCAGAACAAAGGAATGGAAAAACCTACAGGTTAATTGATATATCTTGGGGTTTGATATTTGACATTGTTTTCTGTTGTTTCAGGTACCTGCATGTTTTCTTTTTTTTTCTTTTTTTTAAAGTTTCTCAGTGCATTGGCCTATAATCACAGCTACTTGGGAGACTGAAGCAGGAGGATAAGAGTTCTAGATCAGTTTGGGCAATTTAGCCAGACCTTTTCTCAAAATTAAAAGGACTGAAAATGAGGTTAAGTGGTAAAGAGCCCCATGGATAAATCCCCAGTACTGGGTGGTGAGGGGGAGGTTTTTGTTTTGGTTATAGGAACAGCAACTATGAAATCTTTATTCCTATTAGCTCTGAGAGGTTTATCATTGTTTCTGCAGGGCTTTGCTCAATGCTTGGCATAGAGTATGGAGTTAGCACATGCTTGAGTTGATCGTGGTAAAGTCATACCTAAAATTGCCCAGTTTAATATAATTTGTAAGTTTCCTCTGCTTTTCATTTTTGAAACACATATAAACTGGTAAAAACAAAGGACTTAATGGATCTTTTTTTTTTTTTTTGTACTAGGGATTAAACCCAGGGTGCTTTACCATTGAGCTACATCCCCAGTTTTTTTTTTTTTTTCCCCCTTTAATTTTGAGCCAGTGGAAGTTGTTGAGGTTGTCCTTAAACTTGTGATCCTTCTGCCACAACTGGGATTACTATAGGCACTGGCAGTTGTGCCTAGCTAGAACATGTATGTCTTCTTGGGCTATCTTATTTAATCATCTTCACAAATTTATGTGAAAAACATTGGCGATGCTGCTTATTGAACCCCCAGGGTCTCATGTTTGCTAGGCAAGTACTGTACCACTGAGCATACTGTATCCTAGCTCCATCCAGTCATTCAGTAAATAAGCATTGTCTGTCTGCAGTGGGGACACAATACTAAATGTTAAGTGAATGCAGAAGTATATAGTATAAATATTTTTTGGTGTGTTTGATAGCTAAATCTCCTTTGAAGACAATTCAAGGTATAGTGGTGTTGCTCATTTCTCTTCATAATAGACCAATTCTGTATTTAGGAATTTGGGTATTTTCTGTACTTAGGATATAAGCATCTTTAAAG